ACAACAAAAGTTATAGAGTCTCTCAGAAAGCCACAGAAAGGAGTGACGTGAGCGTTAGGCCTAAAGCTATGTCTGTACCTCCAAAGGGTCTAATCTAGTTCCAAGGTCACTCCAAGGTCATTACACATCTATGATCCCGTCTGCCTGCATGTCACCTATATCCGAAAATTACCCCGTCTTGCTGTACATCTCAGTTTTCACGTGCACACCCACAAAGTAGTAAGCAGAGCTGCCCTGAGAAAATAAGACGGGCAACTTTGCAGATAAGTCTGCAATGGACAGCCACAACATTCAAGTAGGCCAATTGCCTCAGGGATTTACTACAATTGACCCAAATTCTTCAAATGCATCAAATGCAGCAGAACAAAATCAGCTGCAAATTCAGGAAAAAAAACAAATGATTTTGGAGCAGGCTCTCACACAAGAGGCACTAGCTAGGCTTGGAAGAATCAAGATGGTGAAGCAAGAAAAGGTTAGTGATAACGTAATCATCATGGGCATCCAAAACAACTCCAAAACAACTAATCCTCAAATTTGCTATAGGCCGCTGCAGTTGAGAACCTTGTGGTGTCTCTCGTGATGCAAGGTAAACTACCAGCAAAAATCAATGAAGGGAAATTGATCGAAATGCTTGAGAGGGGTGCAAGGAGAGGCGGACAGGAAGCCAAACAAACATCAATAAAAGTTCAGAGGAAACGATACTCGCTTGATAGCGACGATGAAGATGACGATGATCTTTTCTAATCGTTTGTATTCACCATTGTTGACTCAAATACATTGACCGTGTCTTGTGGACGAGAAGGACTAAGAAAATCCAAAACAGAGCAAACACTATCGTAAAGCGATGATTTATCTCTCCGGGGATGCGAATAAACTTAGAAATTTCGTCCCATAATCCAGTTTGAAACTAACTATAAGCTAACGAGAACGGTACACTGTAAATCGGTAGATTGGGCCATCCACCTTCTTGTCCGCTATGGGCTTGCAACCAGTTTGGGAATGGTTCCAATCTCTTTTTCATGTATCATCTTTCGAATGCGAATGTAATCACCATTCTTGAGGTAGACTTTCTTCTGCAATCTACCTGATTTATCGGGTTCTGAAACTCCATCGAGGGTTTCAAAGGCTAGCCTGGCATGTCGTGATGTTTTGAACGCCACGTGTGTCTTTCCTGTTGTGCCTGAAAATTCGATTTCGTCGACTTCTTGAGGGACAATATCAGTATGTTTCTGGAACATCAAGCAGAGATTTTGGGCCTTGCAGTACTTTGGAATGCGATGAACAAATAATCGTGAACTCTTTGCATCATTGGTGCTTCTTTGTATTTCTACGACATTTCCAGAATTTTTGACCCAATGAGCAACACAACCAAGAGCCTTTCTTGCGTCATTCACGCTATCATGTGTTTCTGGCATCTTCTCTTGAAAAAGGCTAGACACCAAGTCTTTTAGACTAACTGTTGCTTTGCGAGAGTCTTTGGCGTGAAATAGAAATGACGAGTCTGCAATACAATTGTGTTCCATGTTCAGCGCGACAAGATCATTATGAACTGCATGACCCACGATAACCGTCTCATCGCTGCAGAGAGCCATCATGAATGCTTGGGCATGCCGAAGCGTGAACTGAACGTTTTCCAGATGCTCTTTATCTATCCCGTTAATTCTCGATCGATAATCACTGACTGGCCAGTCTGGCTTCACTAAAGTATCTAGAAGCACTTCGTCAGGATATTCAGCATTGACGACGCTGATACGGCATAATGCTTTTGGATTCTTAGATCCAGACAACGGGTCTTGAGTTTCACACATTTCGCAATCAATAGCAATTGCTTGTGGGTTTGAGGAGCACCAAGCACCGAAGCTCCTCGCTTTGATCCAATCAGACAGAATCCCCCCCTCCTTATATTTCTGTTTGTAGCTGGCAAAATTGAAACAACTATTATACCGTTCATGTTCGCGGCTTTTCAAAACGGCAGCTTTCCACTTCCTGCCAATTTCCGTTGATTTTGGAAGCGGAAACTTGTCCCGAACTTCAACCGAATAAGAGTTTTTTTCTGGCTTTCTTGAATGTGTGGGTGATGACACTTCGATTTCCTTTGCTACATTGTTTATGCTCACGGTCGACAACGAAGCGACAGGCAGATGAGAAGCAAAGCTTCGGTAGTCTTCAGTCGTAATTTGCTTCGGCTTTTTTGTGTGAGATTGACTATGTGGTTGCTTCTTGTTGCTTGATCTTGGCTCAATCTGACCCTCATGTTGTGAGCTAGGCTGCTGTCTAGGCTTTTTCTTCTGACTGCCGCTGCCCGATACAGTCTGCACACCCGGACGCTTTTGCTTAGGACTTGCAAACGGGTCGTCGTGATTTTCGATAGAATCTGCTTTTCTTTTCTTCTCTATAGGTTCCTGTTTGTAATCAATACCTACTCCGCTCTTGGGAGTACAACGAGGTCTACTCGTTGAATTCCTTTGGTCCTCGCCTTCTTCGCTTTCGGAACTAATTACACTGGCAGAATCTGACACTGCAACACCACATCCTCCTGCATTGCTTTGGCCTTCCTTCTCATGCAAAAACCGGCACTCGTCACCATTCCTGCATCCTGCAGGTGACGAAAAGAACGCGCAAATCGGTTTCTTTCCGTCCGCAATGGAGAACAATTTGTATTTCTTGGCAGAAGGCATGTCAGAGGAAACCAAAATTGAAAAATGAAAAAAGGCAATCAGATGGTTAAAATTGACTCAAGAAGCGCGATTGCGCGATTTCGCGATTTGACAAAAATTGAAATTACTTTTTTAACCGATCGGGCATCGGGGGGGATAGCCCCGTAACGGGGCTATCCCCAATTTTACGGATACGAAATAAATGTACCACACACTCGTAGACGTAAATGTTCAGCATCATGAAGTTTTTCGTCCTGATCGAGCGAAAGTGCCTAGTTCTAGCCATCAATTGCCTTCACCACCAGACTGAAGCTACAAATTAGATCTGAACTACCCAATTCTCCATAAGGAATAACGATTTTTGGATTGGAGCTTTCGATGGACCAATTTTGGACTTTGCAAAAGGGACGGCGCTCCAGAAAATATATCAATCTCAAGCATGATGGGGCTCTTGTTGACACCCATTGGAAATGAGACAATGTGGCTCCTGTGATACTGATGAGTTTTGTTGTGTTCCCTTTCCTAGACTTTATATTGGGGAATAAAACCCCGAAGCTCGTTTCATTTTGGAGCAGGATGAAATGCACTGATTTCATCACAATTTGCATCCGACACGAACGATTCATAATGTGTGCGGTAGATGCAGATTCAAGCACAGAGCACACTCCCTCCGCTCATCATGCATACTTAATCTCTTAGGATAGTGGGTTGGAAGGATGATATAAGATGGGACTACTCCCAAATGCTCCCTCTTGTGGATGAGTGGATTCAAAATGTGCTTGATCAGATGTTGCTTCATCTGCAGGAGGTTCGTCGCACTTCCACCATCCAATGTATTGGGACAAGGAATAGGGATATCTAAATAGTAAAAATATTCATTATGCAGCAACGGCTGGGCTATGGGTCCGAGTCTAGGAGGCCATGGAGCCGAATTTTGCACAACAGATGCTTCATATTAGAATGGTCGACTTCAGCCATTTGATTCTTGCATAAGGAGCCAAAATAACCTCTATCTAATGTATTTAGACCTATTGCAATCCGGATGCGCCAATTTCACTTTCCAGCAAGTGTATAGTCGGCATCCAAAGTCATAGTGTATACTGGCTTGTGCTCTTTCAGCTTTGGTGACTCGGACGTCAAAGCCAATGCAACAAGATGCTACAATCAAAGTTCCACCCCATCTCAGTCTTTTTACAGGTATTTACCCTTCTCAAAATCTATTGGTCGGTGTATTTAAGGATTTTGGCTAGTGCCTGATCATTTGCAAATGCTTGATATGTGTTTGGCCAAATTTGTATTCGCAACAACATACTCATAGGCAGTCCTTTGCTTTCTATCGCCGAGTCTCTTCCAAGTATATCATCATCTAAAGTTACTAGTATATTCTAGGAGAAATGGGTACCTCATAGCACTTGCATGCCTCCTCCAATTATGGAGAGCCAAATGATTGCTCATTGTATTCAACGAAATAGACAGTTCCTCGTTGAAGGACCCCACCACCCAGCTCATCAATCCACTTTAGGAATTCTGTACCAACCAATCCAAAGTCTGGTTCATTCCTCAACATTTCATCACTTAGCCGTGTACATTTTCATTGTATGCAACACACTGTAGTGGTTTCACAATTGGTGCGGATAAAGTACTGGAAAAGTTTCCTAGCAATGCTGTAGTGTTGGAGCTGAAAGCTCAACAATCTCATCTGCTTATCTCGAAAAGCAAGTAGTTTCCAGCTCAAAGATAATATAGGAGGGATTCGAAGTTGCCACAGTTTGATTGTTGCCTTGACGTCATCATCGAATGTTGGCTTGACTTTTTCCTTGGAAGTTTGGCAGCAAGTTTTGGGTTCGCATGGGCATTTTGAAAAATTCTTTGTGCACTCGATCTTCACACATATACTGCATTTGGGCAAATTGTTTGGTTCCCTCTTGGGTTGCATTGGTGCAAATTTGAAGTGTGCGGAGGTTGTTGTTGACGAGCAATGGTCGACGGACCAAGCGTGCACGATTTTTGGCGAGGCGTTGAATTTTGGTCATTTTGGTCAAAATGAAAAATTGGCACAGCTTCGGCCAGTCATCATCACTGCCAACAATATTCAAGGATAATCTAGTAGACAACTAAGAGAATATATACTGCATTGGTAAATTCGTCTTTTATCATAGTCATCTCATTGCTTGAAGTTGAAGTTTGGGGGGGATAGCCCCCTAGGGGGCTATCTGACCCCCGATCGGTTAATCGGTACCGGTACACGTACGTTAAATTGAGTAGCGAGGTACGAGAGATTCGGGACGAAAACGAGTACGATGACAAACATGCATGGGGATTTTACAAGATGTGTGCGAATCTCTAGGTTAAACTATCTAAACGTACGAATGACGGACACTCTCTGGTCCAATTAACGGTCCCCTCAAGGTGATACTGATGTATCAGAGAACCTTGTACTCCGAATTGGGCTAATATCAACCGTACCCCCTCTTGGGAGGACGTATCATCCAATACTGTCCAAGACTGACAATATCCGGCGACGGATGAAAACGTTTCCAAAAATTAAATCAAAAGAGCAAGTTTTCCATTATGCCTTGCTTTCCACATGATATGTTCCATAAGACGGTCACGAACGGTTCCAGCTTGAATCTTGGTTAAAACGTCGACCAAGTTCTCAGCGGAAATTATCCATTCAATTCCTAGGATATCAATTGCGCATCTGGAGCGAACGTAGTGATATGCGACAGCATTCGATTTCTTCTTCAATTGAGATTCAGGAACACTTGAGTTCTTGACAACGGACATATTGTCACGCCCATCATTCTGAGCTTGAATCGTAGTCCCTCAAGTAATTGAACACCTGTCTTTAGAGCAGCAAATTCAGAACCAAAACTGCTTGTCTTGACACTGTTTTGCTTTTTCAAATACCAGATAATAGGAGCTTTGTTAACAAAGATCAATACTCCTGTTCTTGATTGACAAGTAACAACGTTAGCAGCATGAGATGCATCAACAAACATAGTAAACTCTACCGCTTTGCCAAGAGGTGTAGGCATGTCACTTGGTAGTTCATCCTTAGTGAAATCATAGAACTGTGAGTAGTCAGCTTTCTTCAATGGTCTCAGATGATCAGCATAACCACAATCCATCACAAGTACACGATCAGGATGCTTCTGTAAATAGGCAAAAATATGTAAGGCAGCATGAAAGTGACCTTCACGAGGCATTGCATTGTAAGATGAGAGCATAGACACTTCAGCGGCAACATTGATACGACCAAGTTCCACAAGCCAGCGTAGAATACCAATGAGCTGCATGTAAAGAATAGCAGTATCATCATCAACAAAAGGAGTAGAATCAAGTTCCGGCTTGTATCCAGTGGCTAAAGTTGAGTAAACCTTTTTCTTCAAAGTCAGTTGCATTGGCGCAATTCGTTTCTTGACAACTCTTAGTGACTCTTGTAGGTACGCTTCAGATCCAATAACCCAGGTGAAATAATCATCACCATCCAACTTGTGCTTCGAGATTGTTGCACCAAGATATGTGGTTAGCTCTTTTATTGATTCAGGTTTTAAAACAAAGAAATTGTTGAGTTTGTCCATAATCGCTTTTGGATTCTCCGAGATTGCAATGACATCATCAGTATAAACTAAAATATACTCATAATACTTCGAACCATCTTTGTGTTGACAAGGACGACGCCAAACGTCCGTATCTCCACGATATGGTTGGAACTCCAATTGTTCCTTCAAAACGTCCGCACAGAGGCTCCTCCATGCGATTTCCGATTTTTTGAGTCCGTAAACGGCCTTAACCAGGATAGCTTTCTTCTTCTCTTCCATTGGTTCACTGTTTTGCTCTTTGGCTGATAAAGGAATCACTGACAATGGTTGTAGTACTTGTCCATTCGCAATAGCAACTGCAAAACAAAGAGCTGCTCCAATAGTAAAACTTGGACCAAGCCAACGGCATAGTTGCTTCCCATCCTTAGATGAGCGATTAGGCAAAAGGCACCAACACCAATCCCAAATAGCAAAATCAACCAGGTGAGAGATGTCTTTAGTGTTGCCAGAAACGATTGTGGCTCCACATTCTCCTTCTTGTATCGCAAGTCCAAAATTTCTGGTTGTTGCAAAGGAAAACAGCGCCAGTATGAGATGCACGTCGGACGAGTTCTTCCTTGATAGAGTGAGTGCCATCATCGGCTTTGAAAAAACCAGGGTCACCGACGAGTGGAAGCGCAGAATTTTTACAAAAAATATAATCAAGGCGAATTCCACGGTAACCATAGGCAGTACGAGCCCAACTTTCAATATTTTCCATCATGATTCGACCATCGCGATTGTTGAACTTTGGAGGATGTGGAGGAAGTGGGTAGGAGTTTGGAACTGGTGTATGGGTTCTTTGGACCAGAATGAGGAGCTTCCCATATTTGGAGATACAATGAATAGTCATTGCTTCGCAAGCGGTAACTCTGATAGTCGCATTTGCATTGTTGGGATCAGGGGCTCTTCGCATGGATTTGATGTCTTCGCGAACTTGAGAAGTGGTTCTGTTGGCAAAGGAATCAACAGAGTCAAGGTGTTGGGATATGACGAAATATATTCCGAAAAAACACACAATTAAAAACCACACGCAAATCCGGGTTCCAAAACAGCACCTCTAGTACTTCTCCTACACGGAGCGGCCGTAGCGACGCCGAAAAAGAGGTTGTTTTCAACTGGAAA